TGGTGGGTAAATATGTGGTTTTGAAAGAACAAGTTGGTAGTTAAATGTATATGTCAATGTTAATATCAAATATATATGTATTTTGAAAATGTTTGTTGATTAAATATGTATTTTGAATGAAAATGTTTGTTGATTAAATATGCATTTTGGATGAAAATGTTTGTTGATTAAATATGTATTATGGATGAAAAAGTTTGATTGTTAAATTTTTAGGTTTGTTGGTTAATTAGATAGATTTAAGAAAATGAAAGAGATTTGGTGATTAAAATAATTACAAAAAAAAAAATCTAAATCTAAAATCCTACAAACCAACAGAGGAATGGATTTCACATCAAATCCAAATCCTGCAAACCAAACACAGGAATGGATTTTAAATCCAATCCAATCCAAATCCCATGGAATCCAAATCCCTCCAGGAATCCAAATCCCTCAGAAACATTCCTGCAAACCAAACGCACCCTTAATCTTTTGAAAAATAATGGTTACGTTCTTGAAAAAAATCGGGTCGGGCCGGGCAGGTCCATAACCAGTCCTAAATTTTGGTACTATAACTGGTCATTACCGTTCTCGGTCCTCTGGCGGTCCCGGGATGGGTCGGGCTGGTTTGGCCATCACTTGAGTCTAGACTGATACTATAAACAAGCTTGGGCTGTGGGCACGTCGCCCATGCGCAGGGCCGGCCTTTATCCTTATATTTTGTATGCAATGTGATTTTTAATTATAATAAAACGTATTTTTAAAGTATATTTGAATGACACAATCACAAATTTTATAATGTATTAAAAATATATATCATTAAAAATATAAAAATAAAAATATTATTTTTTAATAACCAGGACCGGTGGCCCATAACCGGTTATAATAAAGCTTGACCGGGCTCACCTTTTTCGACCGGGACCGGTTATAACCGAATCTGTTAAAGCCCGGGACTGATAAGACCCAACTCAAGACCAGTTTTTAACCATCAACTACGTGTATTGATCATTTTACCTTAATCTTCTTTCTTTTTTTCTATAAAATAAAATTAAAATAACATTTTATATTATTTATACAATAATTTAAAATAAAATTAATCTTATTTTTTATTTTATATTATTTCTACTAGAAGGCTATTCGCGCAATGCATCGAGATACATCTTGATTTTAATATTTCATTTTATTCTTTGTCTCAGTCGATGTTATAGTATGGTCTTATGTGCTTTTGAAAAAGCGATGATGTTTTTATTTTTGAATAAAATATAAATTTGAAGATATCATAAAAATTTGATAAAAATATACCGATATTAGTATCAAATTAACTATTTAAAATTCTTATTTTTTGTGTAATTTTTTTATTCAATTTTTTTATTATAATTTAATTTAGATTCAATAACGAATTAATTTATATTTGGTTTAATAATATAATTTTTTTATAAAGAYAATAATTAATTATTTTATTAGAACTTGATAATTATTCTAATTATATTTTAGATTTTTTACATTTTAAAATGAGATGTTTATCCTTTATTTGATTATGTTTATTCGCAGTTAGTTATACGAATTCAACACATGGAGTTTTAATAAGTTGTACTTATGCATAATTTACTTGTAATACTGAATTTTAAGTGATATACATCAATATACAATACTTCATGCATAAAAAATGGTTTTTAAGAGTTTTTATCAAATGATTTATAATATAGTATATATTCTTATTTTTTGTGTAATTTTTTAATTCAATTTTTTTATTATAATTTATATTTTGTTTAATAATATAATTTTTTTATAAAGACAATAATTAATTATTTTATTAAAACTCGATAATTATTTATAATTATATTTTAGATTTTTTATATTTTAAAATGAAATGTTTATCCTTTATTTGATTATGTTTATCCACAGTTAGTTATACGAATTCAAACATGGAGCTTTAATAAGTTGTACTTATATATAATTTACTTGTAATCTTAAATTTTAAGTGATATACATAAATATACATTATTTTATGTATAAAAAATAATTTTTAAGAATTTTTCCCAAATATTTTATAATATAGTATTGGTAATACCTTCATAAATCTCTTCAGGCCTCCCCCTTTTTCTCATTTCATCCTTTTGCTGCCATAAATCTCACTAGTTTGGGTTTCAAAACATCAAAAATGGACCAAAAATGGACCAAAATGTATTTTACGAATTTGAGAGACGAAAAACAGAAAGAAATCATAGTTGAGGGACCAAAAATGTAATTCACTCTAAAATTTATAAATGGAAAATTCGTAGTCATCGCGGTAAATGTAAGCCCTGTCATATAAACATGTCTGTCTTTGTAGGCTAAAACAAGAAAAAGATGGAGAATATGAATTATGCCGAGGAGCTTGTGAGGGAATTTTTGTTCTTCAGGGGATTCACAAGCACTTTGCAATCTTTTGAGAAAGAATTGGCCACAGATCTTGGCAAAGGATTTCAAAAGGATAAAATCTTTGACCTAATTTTTTCAGTATACATTCCGAAATTCCAGCCAGAAAATCTAATTTCCCTGCTGACCTTTTTCAAGCAATGTTTTTCTTCATCCGAAACTGTCTTGATTGCTACCTTGTCCAAATTGGAGATCTCTGTACTTCGATATTACATCGTTTACGCCGTACAATCAGGAAGAACTGACAAGATTATCGAGTTTTTTGGAGTTCATGGCGATGATTTGCTGCAAAGAAATCAAGATTGGATGTCGTGGTTTGGTGGGTCCTCTCTCCTTTCCTTTTGTGCTCGTTGATTTCTTCAGACTTTTGACTCTTTTCATTATTATGCAGCGATCCCATATCTCAAGAACCCTAGCTTGGATCCCCTGTTTCGTGTCTATTTCTCGAAGGAGTGGTTTGATGCACTGCAGCTTTCTGTTAGGAACTTCTTGAGTGAAATCTTCAATGGAACTCATATCCTCCCAACAACTTTTTGGATGTTTTGTCATGAAGTATTCCATTACATTGCCTCTCCTTCATCAGATATGATGCTCAGTTAGCATATTTAGCTATAGTGTATGTTAAAGTGAAAGAAATATCCTAGAGCAAGAATCGATTTGAAGGATCTCATGTTCTCAAATCTGAGTAAGTTCTAGAATATACTGATTTTCTTGGTGCTGGTATGTGTCTAGGTATTGGATGAATATCCACGTTTAACATAGGTATGCATCAAATGTTAATCTTTGCATATTTTGGAGTATATTGTATTAGCAGATGGTTTGTGTATCAAGTAACGTTGAAAATGTTGGTTCCCATTTCAGAGCACATACATGATGGAGATATGTGGAATTAGTGATACAAGTAGACAGTATAACTGAATTTAGCTTGTTTGGGAAGCAACTTGTGTGCAATCCTTCTTTTCCCTTAGGGTGTCATCTATATGAAAGATTTCTTGTTTGGCAAGTCATTTCTATGCAATACAGTGCTTTTTTTCCTGTTAGGACCTCATTTATATGCAAGTTACCTTGTCTGGTAAGTTGCTGTATGCAATATTGCAATGCAATGCTTTTTTTCTCTTAGAGATGTGTATAGAGTGATAAATATCCATTTTCCTCTTATTATGAACCTTGGTATATAGGAGGTTGATCAGGTGGACAGGAATAAAGGTTCATCTTTCTAAGTTCCATAGGGCTGGTACAAGCTTAATTGTTTATTTCAAATCAAGGTCCGCCAACATGATGCCAAATAGGATAGAGGGTTTGATTTTTTTCCTTGATGTGCTTTGAGTCTCTGACTAGTAGTCATGGACTTTGGGGTCTCTATATGCCTTGTGATTTGATTCTTGTATAGCTCATTAGTTTCTTGATTTCTTCATTGGTGTCGATGGTAGTCCTACTTCAAATTTAGGGAAATTTTCCTTAACTAATCCACGCATTCCTGCATTGTTGAAGATCAGTTCGGAAAAACTTACTGTGAACCACCTTAAGAATGATATCAAGCATCTTAATACCAGACTGTCACAACTTCAGGCTTTGTTGGAGGAAAAGGAGGCTCAATTATGTCGGTCCAAGAGGTAAGCTTGTTTCTTCACCACATGTTTATTCCAAGTATTTTTTTTCCTGACCACATGTCTTAATAACAGCAATTTTTCAACTGCACGTCAACTAAGCATTGGTGGTAGCAATGAATCCATGTGCTCCTCACCCGAGACACTGTCACGCGGCGTGCCTAAAGAACCCACTGTACCATCTAGGAATCTTGGTGAAGCTCATGCATCTACCACTCATTTGAGTGGGAGGCAGTCCTCAGACAAGGATGTTGATATACCTGAGGCTCAAGGAGTGAGCCTTGCAAGTAGCAGTTATGGTGGACAGAGTGATGAAAAGAATAGTTCTTCTGTTGGTAAGAAATTGTATCATTTCTTTCACCTTCCGTCTTTAAGTGTGAGCAAAGCTTTCTTTGTCTTGTTATTAAAGTAGTTTTACATCGATTGCAACTTCAGAACATTATGGCTACTTATTTCTCGTACATCTTAATCTTTGGTGACATCTAGACATGTTCTTAGTGTAACAACAAATGGTTGTCTTGAGGATTGATGGCAAGTGTAAGGAAGTTTAACTGCTGAGATGAACTTTGTACTCGACAAAGTCATCTAGACGCGGGACAATCCGTTGCCAAATTATAGTTCATTTTATGTAGGATGCTTAGAGTGGGTTAAGTACTATATATGTAAAATCAGCAACATATAATGTGAACTGATCTCACTATGGCAGCCGGCCTTGTTCTATACTTTGTGATATGTTAGTGAATTTCTGGGGTGCTATCAATTGATTGAATGATTTTAGGAGTTGCTGTGACCTTTGCCATGAGAGCTAATATGCTGTATAATAGTTTTTGGTGGATTGAACTGCTATGTTTTAAGGTCAAACCGTCAAAGTGACTTGACGGACCCTGCTATAGGTTGGTGATTTCTTGCAGTTCATATGAACGGAATAAGGAGTAAGACCTAGAATTTAGGGCGTAGCATTTGAGTGCTTCAATAGAACTTTGTGCAGTATATTTGTAGTCATAAGATGCCAATGGTTCATTATTTCTTCAAAGCGTATGAGGTATGAGCATGTACTATGTTTGTGGGGATGTGCTTTGTGTTTCCTTGTAGCGATTTATGTGATTGTTCAAGTGACTGTCAACTATATGGCAACAGGAATTGATGAACTTCAGCAAGAAGAAGATTTCCCAGAAGTGAAAGTAGACTTCCAGGTGCAATCGCTCATCCTTCATCATGGTTGAATTATGTCATTATGATTTACACCTATTATTCCTTCGTTCTTGCCCTTGTTCTCACTATGTCTACTCTTGATGTCTTCTGGTTCTTATTAAATCTGGATTATGCTCTTGTTATATGTGGAAAACCATGCTTTGCAGGAAACTTTCTTGGGCCACACAAGTCCAATCAGTTGCTGCAGGTTTTCTACATCTGGGGACAACATCGCAAGTGCTTCTGTGGATGGCACAGTCAGGTAGATCCTTCAAAAGCTAATGTTGCTCATCTGTCTTATAAATTGGAAGTTTGGTGTATATAAAGGAAAAAAGAGAGGATGCTGGCTCTTAGTGTCCAAAATCATTTGCTTGGTTTTATTCACAAATTCTGGTATATTTAATTGTTATTTGAAACATTTAAATATACTTGATAGGTAGGCCATAGGCTTTAGTCATCACCAGAGTTGTTGATTGTAACAAAATCTGATATAGAGGAGGAACTTCAGGAGATAAAAAAGAAAATAGAGCATTTGAGTCTGCAGATTTTAGGAGGGAAAAACAGCTTTATGTATCTATACATATATATATATATATATATATATATATGTATGTATATAGGCTAAGGTAATGTATTGCATGTACACTAAATTACTAATGCAAGTAATGTATGACTTACCTCAGTGGTCAACTCAAAGTTAATCTAGTGGACCAATTTGACTCACAAGGACCTTTTTAATGACGATGGAGCATCTTGGTAATCTCAACTTAGAAGCCTAAAGGAAACATTTCAATATTATGTATACGTCATCCCAGCTTATTATGGTCAACTCCGAGATCAAGCCGACATTTTTTCTTTCCTGATTTTCTTATGTTTTAATGAAGGATATGGACATACGACGCGTCAACTTCAGCATCAAGGAATGCAACCATCTATTGTGGGGCCGAGATTATGTCACTCGAATGGGATTGCAAATCTGACCGCTTGGTATACTAATTGATGCCATTGTTTTTTTAAGTTCTGAAACATCTTATACAATTATAATGGAAGTGGAAGTTTATCTTCTGTCTTCAAATAGTCATTGCTGTTAGACTTTCTGAGGACAAACAGGAAACCACGTTCTCTGATACCGAAAAGTTATGAATTGAAGGTTAACCTGTTCACTTACTTGTGCACTTCCATATTTGAGGATCTCATCGTCCCTAAAGATCCACTACGGTTTTGCTGAAAATTTTAGAGAACTTTGTTCTTTTCACTTATTAATGATTTATTCCTAGCTTCCACATTTATCATCTTCGTAAATGAATGAAAAGTTTTGAAATATTGAAGAAGGTTAAATTTCAGTCACATATTGATAGTTGAAACTGGAGTATGTGTTTGTTCCAAGACAAAAAATGCACACTTCTTTACAGACTTTCAAAAGTGGAAAAGTGGACACTTGTCAAGTGATTAAGATTGGTATTATTCTCATTGTTTTTTGGAGGTTCTGAATGTCCGAAACCAGGAAGTAATGCTCCTACATTTCATTGTCCATTTTGACAAAGCTTCTCATAGGCACTGCTGATGGAGGTATAAAAGCATGGAATGTTGATGCAAAGAGAGTTGTGTGTGATCTCAGTACAACTGATGCATTTCCAAGGTTCTTGTCTGTTATAACGTTTATTATTATTTTTGTTTCCTGCAAGGGTCAAACACATATACAGCCAGATATTCTTGATTTTTATTGCTTAATTTTTGAATTGCAGTGTTCTGGACCTAAAATGCAGCCCTGTGGAACCAATATTTGTGTCTGCAGCAGCATCTCGAGGGTACTATCTGCCGAGTATATTCCATGCCAAGTATCCTAAAAGTTCACTTTTTTTTTTGTGTGTGCTCAAGTGAGTCTGACAGTTCAGTGTCAAGTTTCGTTACTTTGAAAACCTTCTTTTATCCTTAACAAGTTTGAGGCAGAGTAAAAATGTAACTAGTATAAACTATAAGGTGGTAATTGCAAAATAAGACATAAGACATGCCACCACCCTTCCTTGAGTCACTAGATATTTTTAACTTATTTTCATGGTTGTCTTTTGTTGTTGCTATTATGCATGGGAATATGATGATTGAATAATCCTGTGGTAATTTTATGATCAATGATTTTAGGCTCCCTACAAACTTTTATAATTGCATGCTATGTGCTAGATGAAAACTGAAGCAGCTATTATTAGATCTGTGATGGTAACCTGTATTTCATAGTTATGCCTTCACATTTATTTGGATTTTTTGCTTTTCTGCTAGTGTTTATCAGAGTTTTGAAGAATACATTTCCCTTGTAGGCATGGCACAGGTTATATTGATAAATTGGGATTTGCATCATTAACTGTTTGGAACATGAGAACATGGAAGGCAATGGTAAGTGCTTTTGAAAAGTTGTACTTATCCATAAGAATTGTCCCCTTCCCCCAAAATCCAATACTAAAAGTGGAAGAGAACCTCCAAGTCTTACTTATCAATCTTATTGAAGACAGTCCTTCCTCTTGGGAAAGATCCACCTGCTATAACGTCACTATGCTTCAACCACAATGGGAAGATTCTAGCAGCTGCTGCAACAGATGGAATGATTCACATGTTTGGTATCCTAGAAAATTCTTGTTATGTTTTTTAAAGTACATAATATTTATATAAGGCAAATACTGACACACACTCCTCACCCTTGATGATTTGAACCCTTGACCTCTTGGGAGGCGGGGCGCTCTCTACCTGTACCCCGGATACCGCTGGATTACCCTTTGGTAAAATTCTTGTTTTTCTAGCTAAATGAGTACCCAATAGCCTATATATGCATTTGTTATCATGTTTACATGTGGGCAGAAGAACAAACAAAATGCATACACCTTAATCAGACTCAGATATGTCAGCTGGCTTGCAAATCACTGGATGGCCAGCCCATGATTCTGCCATCAGCTCTGTTCTTTTTGGGCCAGATGAGACTAGCATTTTTAGCTTAGGTACAGATGGAAAGGTGAGTTCTTAACTTGAAGCTGATGCATTGAAGCATTTCTAACCTCTTCACTTACAAAGCAATAGATGATGAATTTCAAGCATTGGTTTTTAATTGTTGTACCAGATATTCGAGTGGAGTTTGCAAAGTCAGGGTGAAGTTCTCTGGTCTAGAAATTGTAACAGGTGTACCTTTTTTTTTCCTCTTTTAGCCTTTAGCTTCCTTTCATAACTTTTGGATCAACGGCAATGCTGTGGCTCATGCATCCTTTTTTCTGTCCCTGGTGCAAGTGGATGTCATGCATCTTAGACAGAAGATGAAACTTGCTCATATTCCATAAGGAAAAAGTTTGACATCTTACAAAAATCTTGTCCAAAACCTGTTATGTTGATCATTTGCCAATTCATATGGTTTAAACCTGGAACATGGGTGTGCCTTGTATTGCAGCTAGTGATCGGCTATGTTGCCTTACACCAGACTGCTGTTGGTTTTAGGGGCAACCCTGCATATTGAATTATTGATTCATGTGAGTTCTGGTTCTCAAAAGGCTTTGGTAACTTTAGCATCCTAACATGCTAATTGGATAAAAAATGATAGAAGCTGGTAATGTTGGTCATGGTTCGTGGTCCTATATTTATCTTTTATTACTTCAGTATGATTCTTATATGTAGGTGGCATGCCTTCTTGGTCGAGTCGTATGATCAGAGAAGTTATTGATCTGAGTGTGGTCCATTATGCAGGTTCTGTAATCCCCAGAATTCACAGTATCATAGACATGAAATGGCTTTAGATGCAAATGGTAAACGACTTCTGGTGACGTCTGGTTCAGTTAGAGCACCAATATATCAGGTTAATATATATGTTCTCCCCCCCTCTCTCTATCCGCACACACAAATACTTGCATCATGAAGGTTCACATAAGAAAGGCAAAAATGTAGAACGTAAGAATAAACGATTCATATGTGAACCATTGACAAAACCTGAAAAAATTCATTTGAAGATGTGTCATGTATATGTGATTCATGTTCGCTTACTTACCTTTTTACCAATTCTTCGTATATGAAGATGCATATGTGAACCCAGGTTTCTTTTTACCTATGAATTCACATATAAATAATTTATTCTTACGTTTTCAACCTTTTTGTCCTTTTTATTTGAACCTCCCTATAGTTGCATCTTGTTAAACATAAATGTTGCGACACTGCAATATTAATCCTTGCGGCCAATATGTCAGCCAGGAAATAAGCATTTTGATGGCTAGATTTTCTTGGAGGCAGCCCCATTCCTCGAGCAACTTCTTAAACCTACAAGAATGTCTACAAACTTGATGAATCATGTTTACTATCCATACCCATTCTCTCTTTTATACCACAAGGACAATTTTGTTGGTTTAAACGCTTACTCTCGAAGTGGGACTGCTATTTTCTAAACAAATTTGGATGTCATCAGGTTCGAGATCATACGAATGGAATGAAAAGCCTTCCCCATAGTGCAGCCATATCAACCGTAGATTGGCACCCAACTTTGCCCATCTTCTTGACAGGATCAGCAGACAACTCGGTCAGGGTCACATCCATCTTATGATGGTTTTCAGTTTGATGTGTTTCGGTTGGTCGTTGGATTCGTGATGATGATGAGAGTAGTTTTGTTTTGGTGCTTTTGTGTGTTTAGTGTTTGATAGAGGAGGGTGTTGTCTTAATATAATAGTTCAAATTTTCCCTTTATACCGTAGAGGTGTAAAACACTCTTAATGTTACATTTTTTAACCACAAAAAAACCCTCTAATAGACTTGACTGTGGTTTGATATTATCTTACATTGTTAACTTCATTCTATTATAAAAATGAAATAGCAATTATCTTTAAATTATGAAGTTCTTTAGCTATGGTTTTTTAAACTTTGAAGTGTTAATATTTGTTGATATATAAATCTTATATACTGTAATCAAATAATGATAGAATAGAAAGCAATTTTGATTATAACCAAGGCCGGTCCTAATATTTTCGATGCCCTGTGCAAAAATAATAAAAATTGTCCCTAAGTCTATTTTTTTTAAGTCAACGAAACATGCGATTTTTTAAGGAGTTTAGAATCTATTCAAGCTAAGTATTTCATCTCCATGTTGATTTTTATTAATTATAATAAAAATATATAATAAAGGGACATAAAAACCAAAACTCTGAATATAAAATGATAAAAGAATAAATTATGGATTAAGATCGTGCTTTCTTTTTTTCCAGTTTTCGTTTTTCCAATTGAGATTAGCAAAACAGAAACTTTATTTCAATATATGAGACTTAAAAGATAAGGAAAACTATAATCAATTTTTAACTAAAATAGTAAATTACATCTAAAATACTGTCATAGTAAGCAACAAGTAAAACTCAAAAGTTACAGGTCTAACGACTAAAGGTTAAGAGCCTATCTGTTAGCAGCTTAATAAGTTTAATAAAACTAACAGCTTATTTACTCAACTATGCATGATTGTTTCGTAGTGACTTAATGATATAAAAAGTGACTTATCTAATAAGCTTATACGGGGAGCTTTATATAAAAAGTCAAGTTTTTTTTTTTCAAACATGTCCCTTCTAACTAAAAAAACGCTCCTTATATTTAAAAAAAAAACTCTCCCAACAAAAACTTTTTCAATTTATACAAACAGATTAATTCATACAGACAACTTTATACAAACAAAAACTTTTCCAACTTTCTAACTTTTTCCAACGATGTGCATTGAGTATTCATCATTACTAGGCCTTGAGCCTGTTTTTATAGTTAAAGCTCAGTTGTTCAATTATCAAATTATTAAACCTCAAACTAGTAATAAATGACAACTTGATGCCCCTTTAGGCTTTGTGCCCTGTACGGCCGCACGGACTGCACGTGGCAGGGCCGGCCCTGATTATAACTGCAAATTGTCCGATGGTATAGTCTAAAATAATATAGTATAATTTTTTTCAAAATTGGATAAGTGTTTATTAGGCCATTAAAGATATTTAACCAAATCAAAGGGTACCGTTGAGTGGATAAGTACTTATTAAACCATTTAAGACATTTAACTTGTTGGGTGAACATGACAAAGACTAAAAATCTTATCCGATTTACTTATTGAGTAAAAGACGCTTATCAATAATCTTAATATATCATTTTGATAATTTACCTTCTACGAAATTTTGAAGAACGTTAGATTTTTTCTTTTAGATTTTTATTTGCTTTGTTGTGTGGTAAATAACTAGGGTGTAAACGATACCAAGATAACTTGCGAACTACTCGAGTTCGACTTGGTCAAAACTCAACTCGGATAGGCTCGGCTCAAACTCAAACTCGACTTGGTATATTAATGAGTCGAGTCAAGTTACCCAATACTCGACTTCAAAAGCTCGTGACTCGTGAGATACTAGATTTTTTTATCTATAATTAGTTTTAAAATATAATATGTATAATATGATGTAATAAAAATGTCTTATATTTTTAGATATTTGAATAATATTGTGCATTTTTAACTACAAAAACTAATTATTATTTTTAAATCATAATTAAAAGAAGGCAAAAAAACTATAGAAGCGTTGGTGAAATTGTTTCATGTTGGAAGAGAGATAGTAAAAGAAGGATGAAAAGGTGCTATAAAAAGAGACGGATTTGAATGAAGTTTGTAACTTTGTCTATTTGATGATGAAGTTTGAGGTAGATCACTTTAGTTTTTTAAAATTTAAAAGAACACCTTTTAAGTTTTATAATTTACAAGAGATGATCCTAAAATTTCATAAATTTCGACGAGTAAGCTTGATTCGAGTTCAAGCTCAAGCTTAAAAAATTGCAACCAAGTTCGAGTCGAATTTAGTTTTTAATTACTCTCGAATTTTCAAATCAAATTCGAACTTAAGAAATGGTTATCAAATTCGAGCATATTGATAATCGAGCTCATTTACACCCCCATAAATAACACATAATATACATTTCTGAAATTAATTATATTTATATATATTCTATATAGAGGATGTGCACACAAACATATGTACACATGCATGCATAACAGTAAATAAATAAATAAAAAAAGAACTTAAAAATATATATTCAGAATAATATGCCTAAGCTGAAAAGGAAAGAGTAAAGAAAACAAATTGGCCCAACCTTTCTTCTTTTAAAGAAAGAATGCAAAATAAATTCACCCACATCAAACCTTCAAAGACTTGAAGCTTTTGAGCACAAAAGATTAATTGTGGTCAAAGTTTGGAATAAGTTTTGCTTATGATTTTAATTAAAATCTAGATTTCTTTACCCTTTTCCCTCAAGAGCCTATGTTTTATGTAATCTTTTACAAAAACTTATCTTAGAATCGTTACATCTCGGATTTTGAGGTTGAATCAAGATTCAAGAATCAAGATTCAAGAAGACCCAAGTCGTTTTTATGTGATTTAGAATCAGGGGGGAGTATGTTTAAAGAAATAAGACCACGAATTTCAAGATTGGTGAGAGTTATGATGAGATGGTGATTTGGAAGCACACGGTTTAGTTGAATTGTCACCCTTGAAATCCAATCATAAATAAAATCATTTGACTAATTCTTTTTGTCTCTATCTCTAAACAACCCACCAACTGAGCCAACGCCACTACCAACTGAGCAGATCGTCATTGCCCACACACAATATTACTTCGCTATCTATCTCTCTCTCTCTCTCTCTCTCTAGATCTACACACAGACAGATCCAGAGAGAGAAAGTTGACGGTGGCAGCAATGAGGGAACCGGCCACCGAGAACAACCACAACAACAACAACAACAACAACGCATCATCATCACCCCCGCCACCGCAAGCACTGCTCGAAAGGCTCAAAGATTATGGCCAAGAAGATGCTTTTGCCTTCTGGGATCAACTCTCCCCTGACCAACAACACTTTCTTGTTCAAGAAATTGAGGTTTTTTTCTCCCACCCCAATTCTGTATTCATCTTGAAATTTACTTTTTCTTCCTCTCTTTATAGATCTCTCATAATAATTGCTCTCATTTCAATACCAATTGCATTGTTGTTTGCACTCAGAAATTGGTTCGGTTTTCACTATTTTTGATTCTCCAATGGCAGATCCCGTACGAGATGTGATAATTGATAACTGTTCTTTCACCCTTTTTTTGGTTTAAAAAAAATTGTGACACCTCCTTGAATTATTGGAAATAAAACAGGTATTTCAATAAACTGCTACGTTGTATTTGTGATATATCTGTAATGTGGGTTTCTTGTTAACTGTGTTGAGAAATATTTTGTTAGTAGTTTAAGATAGAGAAAATTGCATAGTAACAGAAGTTATAAATTTGAATAGATTAGTAAATACTGCTCTTAATTCTTTCTTTCTAAATCTCTGTTAATAAATTAACATTTTGGCAGAACTTAGATCTTCCAAGAATTGATCGAATGATACGCTGTTCGTTTCAGTCACATGGTTAGTCTTTTTCGTCTGTGCCTGTGTTTTGTATAACTTCTGTATGTTTTGATGGGTTCAATTGGGTATCTGAATGATGAATCAGGGCTACCGGCGGCAGCAATAGAGCCAGTGCCAGAGAGCTTTGTGTCAACCGTAGAGGATAGGAAACTTGAAGATAGAGAGAGATGGTGGAAAATGGGTTTGAAGGCTATTTCAGATGGGAAGTTAGCTGTGCTGCTTTTATCTGGTGGACAGGTATAATGATCTTTACTTCTTTATACCAATCTTACTTCATTGTTCTAATCAAAAGGTCACATTTATTGGTGGTGCACTTTGTAGCTAAATCGGGCATTTTTGTTCTTTTGTCATCCCTTGTGAACTAAACACCATATGTGTTATGATCAATAAGATTTATGTTAATTTGAAAAACAAAAGATTAATTTAAAATAATTTGACCTGTTTTTCACCATAAGGGTAGTTTATATTCTTAATCATTAGTCAAAAGAGATATCGAGTATGTATAAGAAATTATTGCAACATCAGGGACCAAAGGGTATTTGTTTTACTGAAAAGAAAGGATGATGACAAAGTGTACTGAACTTTTCATTTAGAACATATTCGAATTAATTTTGCAAAATGAATCTCTCTCTCTCTACTTATCTACTTGATTTATGATTAACATTAATGAGTGTACAGAAACATGGCAATTATATGATGTTTCCTTTTGCCTTTTGGCTTCTGGAGATGCCCACTAATTACAACTTGATAATGAATCTGTGACACAACTAAAGGTAATGATGCTTTATAAAAAGTGCATAGTGGATTAATAGTTATGTTTTATATAATAAAGTTCCATCATCTGGGTTATGATTCTTTAATCACAAGATACAAAACTAACACAACCAATCTATCATAAATTACTATGTACAAATAACAAAACAGTGGGTAATTTATCTTAAAAAATATGATTATGTGCTCTGATATGAGCTTCACCTACTGGAATATCTATCCATGCTAATTACATATATGAACTATAAGATGATAAGCATAGTAAGTAAAGGTAATTTATCCTAAAAAATATGATATCTCATTTATCCGAATTAAACATAGGTAAGCAATAGGAAAAAGTAGCTTTTGAAGTGATGACACTGACAAATTAATGTGACACTGACATCTACCGTGATTTTTTTTTTTTACCCTCTGGCAGCGCCATGGAGTACCTTGCCCATGAGCATAGGCATTGTAGTCTAAGAGTTGAAACTATAAACCATGTATAGTCACAAAATAAATCAGATTGATTAAAAGCGCCAAGTGAGATATTTGGTTGTTACTCTTCCTCTATCTCATAGGTGCAGTATTAGAATCAGTTGATAACCTCTTTATGGTAGGTTTAGTCATATTGAGATGGAGCGGCTAATCACTCTTCGAGAGGGGTGGAAGACTTGATAAGATCTCTCTTTCTGGATTTTTCATTTAGTAGTTTCAAAAAAATACAATACAATGAGGAAGTATTAATTAGTTCTACATTGAGTCTCTATAAGTAGAACCTGAGAAATGTCCAGAGCAGAAGACAATCAGTTTTATAGGAGGCCATGAATAACATCTTCTGTTATCAAAAAATTTAAAGCACTGATTAGCTGCTATCAGATAGAGTGTGTGCTATCATTTAAAGCACACTGATCTATGGGATGTCGATTTTGAAAATTACGTGATGGGTAGTCTGTCAACTAGTCATGTGGTTAGAATGGTATGTTTAGTATGCTTTGTCTCCAGTTCCTTGCAATCAGATATGCATGCAATAAGAAAAGCTTATACATGATGGAAACTACTTGCTACATGTATCTTTCTTGGAACCTCTTGTCTTTCTTCCAGAAATATTCAATATATTTACAAGGGGCTTCTTTTCTTTCTTGGGGGTTTTAAGCCCTTTCTGTTAAGTTAATGATGTTTAATATAGACAGTTTAGATCAGTATAATCAGTGATAAAATATCTTCTCTAAATGGTTTCAAAAGACATGCTTCTCTACAGTTGCTATCATATTGGTTATTCTTCTTGTTATCGAAGGAGAAACATGTATATGTAACCCAGGAACTTAACCTTCACAAGTCCCGATTGGCCTTGTGAATTGGAACATTAAGAATCTTAAAAATACTCGCCGGTTCAACAAGAACATAACTTTGCTACGTTTGTAAGACCTATTATGGTAAACTTATATTAAATTTTCATTCTTCACAAAAATTTCGTGATTTTAATCCACACGTTCCTTAAATGCAGGGGACACGGCTTGGAAGTTCTGATCCAAAAGGATGTTTTAGTAAGTGTTTTACATGTGATTCAAGTTTTTTTTTCTTCTTCTCATTTTAAGTCTTCATTTAATGTATGTGACATTTCTTCTTTTCGTTTATATTTAACAATTCATTTTTTAAATTATTTATCTGCTTATTTTCCTTTTTACTAATTTGCAAATCTAATGGTACATAGCTAGGAGTAATGTTATATAATTTGGGTAGATACGATTCGGGAGGAAATGTAGTTGCCAAAGGCATTAGTGCTAGTAGGTGTAAAGATTATCAAACGAATCCTCATGGTACTTGGGGATGTGTGTAGGAAGTCTTGTTCTGATTTAGATTTTAATTAAGTTGGATCTATGCCTTTTGAGATGCTTTGACTTCAAAATCTGAGCTTCTCATCATTCAGTGAAACACTTCGCTGGTATAAGCAAAGAAAATATAAGTGGTTCATGATCTCTTCTCGGACACAAATAAGAATGCCAAAGATGAGCTGTTTACAGCAGTGTATGATGGAGATGTGAAGAATGCGCATATTGTTTCCGGGATAGGCAACTTGGGTTGGGTATGGCTATTCTTGTTTCAAGAAATGTTAGGAAACCACGGAGAAGAGAATCGAGGAGAAAAAGAAGATGCTAAAAGAAGAGAAGCCATTAAGCACTATTCATGAAAGTTTTCTTGCACCCCTTACAAAATTACTATCAATTTGCTGAATTGGGAGAATCATCCGGACTTTAAATAGGCTCAGCATATTTTAGTTCATACTTGGCTCAGCATATAGTATGAACAGTTATATACTTGAATTGATCTATGAACCGTCTTCAGATGTAAATAAAATGGATTAAATACCCTTGATATAAAAGTGAAAAGAACATGCTCTGCTGTCAGGTATTTAAATGTCCCCGTTATGCAGAAGAAGCTAAATTTTATAAGTCACATTTACAATAATACCCTTGATGAGAAAGGATGTCTCAAAGGACCTGGATACTCTTTAACTTATTTGATGTCATTGAGAACAAGAATTATATATACACTACACTAGGCCTCCAAACTAGATAGAGCAATACTTATACTCTCCACCACTATCCCAATAACCAGTACAATGGGAAGACTTGAACTTGCTCATTGTATCCAGAGTGAATGGGATATCATGTAACGGTAATGTATTTCACTTCTAGATAAAGCTTCGTATTTTTAAGCACAGGACCCTTTGACACGTTCTGTCAAGTTATTAAGATTCCCTTACGACATGTACCCATCACCCAATAAGTACTTTCCAAAGTTTCCACTAGAAGTCTCTCTAAGGTAGCTTTTGGTATGCAGACATGATTGGACTGGACAGAAGCGGACAAAACAAGAGGACAGAACTGGACAAGACAAGTTGTTTGTCTAGCGTTTGGTACGACTAGGGCCAGATAGGACAGGACTAGACAAGTTGCCTCTAAAAACTGTTTGATGATTTTATACATCATATAATATTTATAAACAACATAAATCAAGTCAATATTTAAATAGGAGTAAATTACATTTCCGTCCTTGTGGTTGGCACTCAGTATCAAGTTTGGTCCCTATTTTGAACTAATTACAGTTTTGGTCACTATGGTTGCCATTTTCTTTCACTTTTGATCCCTCTGACTAAGTCAGTTAAAAAAAGGTAGTTAACTTAAGGGTATTTTAGTCCTTTTTTGTCTTTTTTTCTTTTATTAGATTATAGAGTATATTACAATTTTCGTCCCTGTGGTTTGTTAATGATTTCTCTGCGTGCATCACCAAAATTACAACAATGACCCTTATAGAAATGTTTGTATAACAAACCCTTTTTCTATCGTATTTTATAATATGACCATCAAATTCTTAAAACTATTTTGGGGTTTCAATTTTAATTTTGAAGTTACAGTTAATAACATGATAAATTATATCAAATTGAAAATGTTTTTTTGGATTAGTGTAGACGGATTTGCAGATATACATCGGATAAATTCTATAAAAATATAAAAAATTTCAATACTTAACTCATTTTAAAGATGCCGACAAAACTTTTTCTAATGGTGTAATTTACAAAATAAAATATGTATTTTTAATGTATTTTTAGTTAAAACTATTATTAATTATTAATATAATAAGGGTATAAAATGAAAAATAAAAGAAGTAGGAAAGTAAAATAAAATAAATGAGAATTTATCACGATATAAATTGTAAATTCAATATTAAAATTGAGACCCACTGATAGTTTCAAGAATGTGATGGTCATTTTATAAAGTACAATAGAAAAAAGGTTTGTTATACAACCATATTTATAAGGGCCATTGTTGTAATTTTAGTGATGCATGAGATCAAAATAGAAATCATTGACAAACCACAGGGACAAAAATCGTAATTTACTCTATAATCTAATAAAAACAAAAAAGGAAAAAACACAAAAAAGTAAAAGGACCGAAATACTTAAGTTAACTAACTTTTTTTTAAGTAGAGTTAGTCAGATGGACCAAAAGTGAAACAAAATGGCAACCATGGTGACAAAAACTGTAATTAGTTTAAAATGGGGATCAAACTTGATAATGAGTGGCAACTATAAGGACCAAAAATGTAATTTACTTTTTAAATAATTTAATTTATAAACATTTTTATAGAACTTTCATATACATAAATATGTACATATATAGTGGTACCAAATTGGAATGAAGAATTTGATATAATTGATGGTAGTTCGAAAAAACCTGGTTCGTATAAATGAAAAAGTATGTTTTATTCGGTTGGGAGGATACTTATGGATTGGCGGAGGCGTGTTGGAGGTTGTTGCAGCGAAAATAGTGGTGGGGGTAGAGGCATTGGTGACTATGGAGGATATCAAGATGGTGGACATTGGTTATGGTGGAGGTGGCTGACGGTGGTCATGGAGGTGGTGGATGAGGTTGTAGTAGTGGAGATGGCCGATGGTGGTTGGCGGTGGCTACCATTTGCCGTTGTTGGTGGTGCCGTGGTGACGATGGGTGGTAGCGATCATTAAAGCAGATAACATACTAGGTTATATCAAATGCGGGTAGATTAGTAATTTTCTAGTATTTGTCTCATCCTTGTCCTATCTTGTTCTACCTATTTTTGTGCAAAGATCTTTTTTGTCGCACCCTATCCCGGCCCTTGTTCCTGTCTGATGTCGCGCCAAACATGGGACATTGAGTTTTTGTTATGTCCATGTCATGCTAAACATGGGACAATGAGTTTTTTCCTGTCCCATGTACCAAACGTACCCTAAATGAACAACTCCAAGTTTAATACTTAGAATCATTTCCGGCATTGACTATCATATACATTGAAAACTAAAACAATTTGTCTACCTTATCTTCTATTGATGGAAAGAGAGTATTATTTATAATCATTGTGGAAAAGTGCTTAATGAAAACTGAGGACCCTGCTCATAGCCAAACAATGACCTCATAAACCTTGGGGGACTTGCATTTGTCAATGGAGGAGCATAAAGAACATAGCAAGACATAGGGTACTTGAGATGTTTTATAGATTTGCAAACACATTCTGTTTCCCTTGCATTTGTCAATTTCGAAGTTAGGATTATGAGTAGTGGTAGTGAGATGGGAGCAAGTAGGGGTAAGGAACCAAATGGTGAAAGAGCTGCTTAAGTCGAATAACTTTTTAAGTTACACATCTGATTACTAATGTCATTGTTATCTTCATTCTAGATATTGGACTTCCATCTGGAAAGTCACTTTTCCAGCTTCAGGCTGAGCGAATTCTCTGCCTCCAAAGATTAGCTGCTCAATCCATAAATGAGGGTGAGTTTAATTATGTAAATTCTGTTAGAGTTCATCCTTTTTGCCTGCTGTCCTAATCTTTTCTGGTTTATGTAGGCTCTGCTAGTATTATACCAATACATTGGTACATAATGACAAGCCCATTTACCGATGAAACCACGCGCAAGTTCTTTGAATATCACAAATATTTTGGTCTTGAAGCTGATCAGGTGAGTTACTTATATTTTAAATTTATAGATTTGTTCTTGGGCACGCATTTTACTTACGATGAAAGCTATTTGGTGCAGGTCACATTCTTTTCCCAAGGCACAATACCTTGTGTTTCAAAGGATGGTAGATTTGTCATGGAAACCCCATACAGGGTAAGATTTGTTCATGTTTGGTTAGATAAATAACTAGCTGACAATCGCTACTAAATGCTTGATTGATGCTATGGGTAATTACAAAATTCTTAAATATTTTTTATTTATAGTCTTGGTTTTCCATGACCTTAAGCACTAACGACATGCATGTTTATACCTCTGAATGGAGCTTTTCTCGTGTTTGATACCCCTTTTTTCATCTCATTAATCTGTACATTCTACATTTATTTCTTCTAGTTTTCACAATAGTCCCATCACAACATCCTATTTTAGGCAATATATTATTATCTTATATTCCTATGATACTCTTCTTCTAATGTTCTTCATATGACCAATAATCTGGTTCTTAGTTAGGAGTTGTAATATTAGGTTCAACTTATTAGATTAAAGCAAGATTTATGTTTATCTTTCCTGCTATTACATTTCATTTTTCAATTAAATATTTTCTATGGACATGGTATTTAAGCAAATCTCAAATTTTGAAGCCAGGTAGCAAAAGCTCCTGACGGAAATGGAGGAGTTTATTCAGGTATATTTCAAGATAACCATATACTAGAGGAATTCATGAAGCTGTATTAAAGCATAATCACTAGTTCTAACCTTAGTATTCTTGTCATCTCAAATGCTTGAGTTGCTAATTGGTTTGGATTCTGACTTCCAAATTCAGCATTGAAGTATTCAAGACTATTAGAGGATATGTCCATGAGAGGCGTCAAATATTTGGATTGCTATGGAGTTGACAATGCTTTGGTGTGTAGTTTTCATTCACTTCATCTTCTCTCTCTCTCTCTCTTGCTTGTTTATGATTAAAAACATAGCCATAGTGAAGATTGTTTTACTTCCAGGTCCGTGTTGGTGATCCTACTTTCTTGGGCTACTTCATTGATAAGGGTGTAGCTTCTGCTGCTAAAGTTGTCCGTAAGGTGAGTTCTCTTGCTTGTTATTTTGTATATTAATTGAAAGGAACAACGATAAACCATCTTGATTGGCAATGCAAATATACTTTGAATGATACACACACAAATCAAACATACTCAGGCCAACTGAAACATTCGAATATAACACAGCAAAACCAAGGTAAAAGCAACAGCTGTGCTGTCTTCAATCATTATAATGTGTGCAAACTGGCCGACATGCCATTCACGAACCAATTTTCCTTGAAAGCTGAACCATTTTGAACAATGCTCAACAATTTGAAGGATTAACTTAACAGGCACCTTAGATATAAAATCATAAAATCCATATAATAATTTTTTGCAAAAATGGGAAGAGAGAATAGGATTTTTTGCGCTGCATGCAAGTTATTCTTTTGATGGAGATTATAATTAGATATTTTGATGAGCATGCATAGATGTGTGCCATGGTTGTCTTTAGATACTTGTAGACTTTCATACCAATGTTTGATCTTATTTAAAGGATGTTTTAGTGCCCAACAAACTGGTACAAAAACTGTGACAACCCTTGAATGCTCATTTGCTTATCAGCTGAATATAGAAATATCAGCAACCATCTGAATTTTATTGATGAAAACTGAACGCATCAACATTTTGTTATCTGCTGTTTGAATCAGTTTGACAGTTACTTCTAGTTGCAACAAGTCTCTCCTTTTGTTCTCCCTCTCTCTCTCCTGACTGCCACAATAATAAAATCACTTTATTTCATGCATTGATTTGAACACAGGCATACCCTCAAGAGAAGGTTGGTGTTTTTGTACGGCGTGGTAAAGGAGGACCTGTGACTGTAGTTGAATATAGTGAGTTGGATCAGTCACTGGCGAGCGAAATTAATCAGGGAACTGGCCGACTTCGATATTGTTGGAGTAATGTATAGTCTACCATTCCCCTGTCTTTTTAAATCCTTGTATCTTGGAGTGTTTATTTATTTATAAGCAGCATGCTCCCTGAATTTTTAGTTGTTTCTATGTTAGTTAAACTGCAATCGCTAATCTAGTGCCCTAATCAAACCACCCAGAGAGGATAAGGAAAGTTGTTAATATTCTAAGTGAAGTGCTTTCTTGTATTTCAGGTTTGCCTGCATATGTTCACTTTGGAATTTCTGAACCAAGTTGCAAATGGTCTTGAAAAGGACAGCATGTCAGTATTCACTTAACCTTTTCTGATTTGTGGGTGTTGACTTATTTAGTATGTTATAATTTTGGCAAAAATGACAGATACCACCTTGCTGAGAAGAAAATCCCCTCAATCCATGGGCAAACTGTTGGATACAAGCTTGAACAATTCATATTTGATGCATTTCCATATGCACCTTCAACAGCACTTTTTGAGGTCATCCCTTTTTATCAATTTGTGTTTATTAGCAAAATGGAAGGAAAAGTCTGTGCATATGATCATCACTTTTCCTGATTGTTTTTCTCTGTTTGTTACATAGGTATTACGTGAAGAAGAATTTGCCCCTGTAAAGAATGCAAACGGGTCCAACTTTGACACTCCAGACAGTGCTCGACTTCTGGTTCTGCGTCTGCATACACGCTGGGTGGTCGCAGCAGGCGGCTTTTTAACACATTCAGTGCCACTATATTCAACTGGTAAAAATACCTTTCACAATAAAGCATTCAATTGGCCTATTATCTTCTGTTCTAGTAATCCATCTGTTTACTGCAAGCAGGTGTTGAGGTTTCACCGCTTGTTTCATATGCTGGAGAAAATCTTGAAGCAATTTGCCGTGGTAGAACGTTTCATGCGCCTTGCGAAATCACATTCTAGAATTTGTTTCTATTTTTCATCTTTTGCCATTTTTTTCTTCATACCTGAGAATTTGTACTGATCGGATCCTCCAATAGCAGCTCTTCTACTGATATTGAGAATTGTTTGGCTTAATTTTGTTTTATGAATCATTTTCCATTTACTTACTCATATAATAATCTCTAAGCTCTCCCTGGTGTTGTAATTTTACGCATTATTTACAGCTTATAAGGCAAGTCCAAAGCTAAGCAACCATTGTAAAAACAATTTAACTTTATAATTACTAACTGTCCAAAATACCCTCCTTCCTTCCGCGGATGTACAATTACAGCATGCATATATTTCAATCCTTTTTTCTTACACAATTTTACAAACAAAATCCTATATTTCGCTACTTAACTGCAATATATGCCTACAAAAATAGGGTCACACCCGTCAACATTCATCCTCACCTCCACCTCCACCTGCACAATCATCTGATACTGTCCCTTCAGACGAAACCTCCGGTGCCGGATCCAACCGGCTGTTGCTCAACTCCCCACTCGCCTTCTCTTCTTCTTTTGAGTCCATCGCCATTGGAGTCTCTTTGCTTTCAAGAAAGCTTGTTTCACTTTCTGGAGTTGAATTTGGTGGAGACGGTGGTGCCACCACCATATCTTCATTGTCTGGTGGTACTAAATTCAGGTCTGGTTCAGTCCAAGATGGTCCGGATGTTGATTGTGGAAACTCCGGCAATGGTGGTGGTGGTGCCGCCTTACTTCCTGAAGTAGAAGCATCATGTCCACCATCTGATTGTGGTTGGTTGAGTCCTCCATGTGAGCTGCTGCATTTCTTCTTCTTCTTCAAAATCCGGCGAGGATCTTTTGGCGGCAAAGGGAGCAAGCCAGGAGCAATAAACGGAGGAATGGTTGGTTTTTCATCTCCATATAGCAAACGCACTGATTGTGCTATTGCAGATACGGTAGGTGGCAGTTGGGGTTCTTGAGGTTCTTGAGGCCGAGCAGGAACACCTACAGCCTCTCGAAGCCAATGAGGTAGTTTGGTGTTCTCCGAAGAACTATTCCCACCAATCTCATCCTTCTCCTTCAGATTGCCTACATTCCTTAACTGAGACTCGCTATCAATGAAATTTGGCATTTTCCAACGTCCATTAGCATGTTGTTCTTCCTCCCTTTTCTGTAAATCGAGGACCCCTGAACCATTCAGATCAAGAGAACCCAAGCTACTGGTTCCAAACGGATTCAGAAGAACTGGTTCAAAGTGCCCTGATGATGATTCTCCAGAAAAGTTTGCACGAAACCTGTCAGGAATCCATGTCGGAATTGGAGGAAAACTGTCTTGTTGGAATCCACGTGGATCTGGGTTTTCCATATGTTGTAAACCAGATGTCGAAGGACCGTCTAGACCTAATTTCATATCCATCAGGTGCGGATGGAAACTTGGTGGAGCAGCAGCAAATCTACTTCTATGCAATGCCCGTTTCATCATTCCATCGGAGATGTTTGGAAATGCTGGAGATTTCCCAGATTTCGTGGCATTTGATTGCTTTTTAGTTGGCATATCCAACACCTTGAGCTGTTCTTCTTCCCATCTTGCTGCCAAGTCTTCCGCTGTCCTAAATCTGGAGAATTTAAGCCTCGGATCTCGCAGCATGGTCTCCCAACCACCCCGTCCGTGTCTACGAACACCAATCCACAAAAAATCAAGTTCCTCTTCCGACCAGAAATCTTTCACAAGCTTCCTTTTTAGTAGGTTCCCTGATCCAGAACCAGTTCGCATCATTATGTTCTCGAGAACCTTCCTGTGGTTTTCAGGAAATGAAGAAAATGATGGTGGAATCTGACCCAAACCCAACATGGGGAGAGCCAGGGCCTCCATCTCTTGCTGGGGGAATCTCAAATTGGGCAAAAATGGGATTGTGCAGAAATCTTGCAGAGATGCACTTAATTCTCCAATTGATCTCCCTAAAGTTAAACTGGGAAACAAGTCAGGTTGGTGATGACTGAGGTTTCTTGACGGCAACGGTAACTTGGACAGCAACGACCCGTCAAAGGGTAGTTTCGGCAACAAAATCCTTTCATGAGAATGAGATAAAGCATCAGCAGAGCTCTCTGAACCCTCTGCTCCTTTCCCAGGTGGTGGAACTAGAGCCTGCTGCAAAGAGATCAAGATTATCCAATCTAAGAATTAGACCCACTGATGAAAATATTGGCAAAATGATCTTTCCTTTTACGTATATAGTATTTATATACAGCAAATACTCAAGCACACTCCTCACCAAACTGACCTTTGGTGAGGATGAGGGTCTTGTTTGAGGGTGTTCCAATCTGAGATATGGAACAAGGGCCCCAAAAGTTATACATGTTTTAACCTTTACCCAATTATATATTTTAGCCCAAGCATACATGTTCTAGCCAAATTATAATGTCTTAGGTTTTTACTCTTTTAGCCGATTTGACGATTCCCAATTCCAACTTTTAAACAATTAATCTATAAGACATTTTTTGTTTTAGTTTGCAAGACTTTTAGTATATTACATGGTATGAAGTTTTATATTTTGTTTTATTCATTACTCGTCCAATTGATCTATAGTCTTGGAATGGCTTGGTGAGGATTGACTTCACCTCCAAGGAGGCTAGGATTTACCAGTAACCAGATATTGCTAGGTCAATGGCCCTTTGGTAAAATGATATTTTTCTTGAAAGCATACCGAAGTAAATGGAGGTCCACCAATCTTTGGGCCATGTTGGAGTGTGTCAGAAAAGGTGTCTATGGTCCCATGAGGTTTGGCTTCAACATCATTGGAGGTCCCAGAGCAAGGTGCTAGGTGAAAAGGGAATTCAAGTCCTATCCCGTGCTGCTTGTTTCTGCTGGAAGATTTAAAAGTGTTCCTCTGAGATGACTCCATTAGCTTAGCATTTGGAGCACATAGCCCAAGAACCGGCAGCAAGTTTCTATTTCGCACCTGCAAATGGGAATCTGGTTGGCCAAAGTGTTTGATAAGATAATCCGAGTGATTCTTTGTTTATGCTTGTTTTTACCTTGCTCATTGACTTGTCTTCTGTTCTTAATGTTGAAGACTTCTCTCCTGTTGGTTGATCTGATCTCCACATTAGGCCGCTGTTTTGGGGTCCTTCAGTGAGAAGGGCTTCTCTAATAGCATCCCTCTGAGCCAACCTTTGTTTTTGTCTGGCTCGAAGCTTAGCACTGTCAAAACAACCTATGTCATCATATAACTCAAAAAATTTAAAATCTTGATTAACCCATTGAAATCTAGAGGTTTTTCTGCAAATGACAAGTATTCCAGTTCTTCTATTTCTGTCAGAGATGTATGACAGAGTAGAATAAGTGGAAGGGGGAGGGGGAGGCATACAATCTTTAAAACAAAGATTTTGGACCACCCTAAACCTTAAAAGTCTTCGTGAGATCAACATAGAAATTTTTTTGGGTTTATATTTCTCTTTGTTTTTGGGCGTACTTGATTTATAAAGCAAAAGGCTTCCTTAAGAGGGAAAACTTGTGAGTATGTAATTTGGTTGAAGATTATTCTCCTCCAAGAATTTGATGGCGGTAGTTTAACATAAAACTGATATTTTCTTCAGTTTAGCATCCTGTGATCATTGTTTAATCAGTGGGCTGATTTTTTTATTTATTATAGCAGGAAGAAATCTCTTCAAAGAGATCAAAGAAAAATCATACAATGATAAGAGATAACCATAAAGATAGCCTCATATATTATAATAGATGTTTAAAATTGCATCATTTTGCTCCACTGTCCACTTTCCATTTCTCCTCTAATCAAGTAAATGGGACCCAAAGAAAAATAAAGTGTCAAGTGTTTATAAATATATAATATGATTACAAATAATTGATTCTTCTTGATTTTTCTGTTATGACATTATTCAACGGTATCTTAGACATTTGATACGTAATGAAGCTTCTCTTTAGATTGAACCTGAAGTTACAATCTAGCTAGATTTATCTTAGACATTAACCAACCAAATAGAGTTAAGAGCATCCTAAAGCAACCTAGGATCTCATGAACACTCTCCAAGACAGAAAGGTAATGTAAAAGAACACAGAAAACAAATAAGAACAGGAAGACCTCAAAAGTTCATTCAAACGAAATCAAATTGAAAGACATGAAACATTGAAACTCACAACTTAGTTTTAAGGGCTCGTCCAGCTGGTGTATATTCACGCTCGGGCTCTGGTTCTGGCTCCTCGTCACCACCATTCTGCAATAATGTATATGAACTCAAGCAGCATTATGAAAATATTATCAATGAAAATGCAACCACAGACGAATAGATATGCAAAAGTGTGTGTCTATATATATATATATATATATATATATATATATATATCTGGAATGCAAAAGAAAGATACCTCTAACATCTCAATAGGCCGTGGAGCATATGCTTCCCTGTATGAAACAGCCTTTCTTTGCCTTTTTCCTCGACCAAGCGCAGCTTCCTCCTCACTCTGGTATTTCTCCCATCTTCAAATCCATTTATAAATTCCGTAAGGAAAAACTAAAAGAAGTACTAGTTATCATAAAGTGTGGCCAAAGCATGGTCCAATTTGATAAATGAGCATCCACATTTGGAACATTATATCTATTCCATATTTCTATGAAATTCCTTGAATCTCTTCACACCTACAGATCAAGAGCATTCCTAAAGCCTGCTCAACAAGGACGGAAGCTGGCATTAAACAGACTTCAAACTTTTATACTTGGGTAACCCTCTCTGTTCCAATTTTATCAGTTTATTACGCAATGGTGTGTGCTCATTGAAAGTGGGAATCATATTGTTTGATGAACCAAAGACTTAATATGACCAGATATGAACCTTTTTCACAGGACATTAGTAATTTTTGAGCTTTGGTGTGGCATGATTTATCTACTTATCACTTTTGCTTCTAAGGCTACCTCTAGTAAATATATATTTAACCAATCAAGTATATTATGATACCAATTTCCTCCTGAACCAAATTGCAACATTGAAAGAGAAACAATGACTGAAGTCTGGATGAGAAATACTGAAGGGGTAATGAGATTCTGAAGAGGACTGCAAGGAGTGCCACGTTACCTCACTCGAAGAAGCCTGTCCCATTCATTTACTTCAGCAACATTTCCTGAACTATCTTCTTTCTTTTCTAAATTTTGGGCAGTAGAATCATCAATTACGTCCACAAGCGATTCAGCTCCTCCTTGTTCTTCAGTTGATTCATCATTCCAATCCAAAGACTAATTGGACATACAATAGAAAATAACAATTAACAACATCACAAATACCATATAAAGCTCAAAATATGTGCTTTATGGCAATAAAAAGTTATCATCACAAATGATAGCTACCCCATAAGGCTACTCCTATATGACCAGGATGTCATAGCAATGGCTTACAGAAGCAGCCTCTTTGCAAAAAGTTGCGAAGAAAATGGTGCTACAAGCACTTCCCTCCCTAGCCCTTCAATCCCGTGTATCCTTGGTGCATCGGATTGCCCAATTGCAGATGGTACACTGGAGGAACAATCTCCAGGAATATTTCATTTATGAGCATATGTGCTTCTATTAACTAGTGCAGTATGCTGTCAAGGCCACTGTTTTTGTAGACACATTTGCTGTATTCAGCAAGGTTATATCAGGATTCAGGAATCACATGCTAGTTCGACCAACATAGAAAATTTAGTCACTTGATTGATTATCAAGTAATATAAAAAACAAAGAGCTGCACGCATGTCAAATGACAGAAAAAATAGCAGCCTTCCAAATAGGAACTGGCCCATCTATGCGTATACCATGAAAAGTTACATGAGTGCTAAGGTAATAGCAGGTATTGAGAAATTGCAGTCTTCATAATAGGAACTGCCCAATCCATGGGAATACCATGAACTTACAAAAGGTTGTACCCATGAACCAACCCCCTATAGGCTACAACGAAATACAAACAAGCAAAGAACAATGTTAATAAAAAACACATCAAAAGTGCAGTTGGGCCTAGCCGCTAAGGGGGTCTAAGAACTCCTGCAAGAAGAAGTTGCTCTTCTTTACTAATAATGCAACTATATGTCAAACGCTAACACAATCAGCTAATTCGAAATATAAGAAATATTATGATATCGAAGCCAGAAAGTGAAGGAAGTAAGAGGGGTTGAAAGAGAAAAAACTTGTGAACACAATAGAGGGCTTATGACGTACCTTCACTGAGCCAAGCATATCATTTTCTACATCACCTTCAGGATTATCGGTTGAAACAGAGTCAAGATTTGAACGGTCAAGCAACTTTACTATAGCAGATTCATCCCACACAATCATGGTATTCCCATCTGTGCACTTATCCTGGTACACATCTCCCAGACCCCCAGTCCGCCTCTTATTCTTGTGTTCTGCAGCTACAGATTCTTCCCCTTTGTTGATGTTGTTTTCGCTTATATCTTTCCCAGCTCGTGTGGAAGAATCATTAAAGAGTTCCTCCGTTCCCCATCTTAAGATATCCTCGACCTCCTTTTGAGATCCAGACTTGTTTACAAAAAGCTGATCGAGCATCAATTTCTTCTTTGCTAACTGCAGAATTCTTTCTTCAACACTAGCTCGGACAACAAGTCTGTATACAAGAAGCCTTTTTGATTGGCCAATACGATGTGCACGATTCATTGCCTGGATATCAGCATGTGGGTTGAAGTCAGAATCATAGATTATGACAGTGTCCGCCGTTGCCAAATTGATGCCAAGTCCACAAGATCTGGTTGATAATAGAAAGACAAACCGGCTCTTGTCCTTATTAAAGCGTGAAATTGCCATTTGCCGGTCAGCTATGGAAACAGAACCATCAACTCTCTCAAATGTTTTGGGGCCAAATTCGATGTTCAAATAATCCTCCAGGATATCAAGAAGTTTTGTCATCTGTGAAAATATGAGGACCCTGTGACCTTCCTTGTTCAAGATCTTAAGCATAGAATGTAGCAAAGTTAGCTTAGCTGATGCCTTAATACGCATATCATGAAGAAACTCCGCCGATCCGGATTCAGGTTCAGTTCCAGGTATTAGATAAGGATGGTTACAAACTTTTCTCAGTTGCATCACGATATTCAGCATTGATTGCTGAGGAATACCCTTTCCTATGTTGCGCAATATCTGATAGTTCTTTGTCAACATTGCCCGATAATATTCTGCTTGAATGGAAGACAACTCAACAGGAACCATACGCTCAGTCTTTGGGGGTATATTCTGCATAGCATCTTTCTTAAGCCTCCGAAGCATGTGTGGAGCAACGAGTTTCTTCAGTTCATCTACCTTTTCGGCAGTCGAAAGATCATTAAATCTATCCTCGAATGACGACAAAGAAGGGAAGGAAGATGGCTGCAAGAAATTTAGCAAGTTATACATCTCCCCTATGTTGTTCTGGAGAGGAGTACCCGTCAAAAGAACACGATGCTGGAAGGAAAAGGTATTAAGTAAGCTGAAAAGCTTACTACTTGAGTTCTTAAGCCGATGACCCTCATCAACCACAAGAACTTCCCACGGAACTCCACGTAAATGAGTCGAATCAGCAAGAACCATTTCATAGGTAGTTAGAAGAACATTAAACTTATAATTAGTTGTTTTCTTATTCGAACAAGTTGGATCATTTGCGTGCCATTCAAACTGGCGCATCAAAGCTCTTGCTCGTGCACAACCATGATACTCCACAACGTTCAGGTTTGGAGCCCATACTGAAAATTCCGACATCCAATTAGGCATTGTGGAAAGAGGAACTAAAACTAGACAAGGCAATCGAGCATTAAACTCAAAGTATAACGATGACAAAAAAGCACAAGCGGATATCGTTTTCCCCAATCCCATCTCATCAGCAAGTATTACGTTTTTCGACCTGTGCCAGCATTTGCGCAACCAGTTCAATGCTTCGAGTTGATGTGGGAACAATGAACCTCCTAGTTCTTTAGGCTGCTCAGTGAGAGTAATTACATCACTTTGTTGAGCTCGGCCCTTTCCCCTCGGGATTTCATCCTTCGAAGCATCTTTTTCAACCGTTCGGCGCTCAAATTGATTAAACAAATCAATAAGATGAGAAGATTTCGCAATTACAGGTTCATCTATCCTTTCCCAAGTACATTCATCATAAGGAAGACCAGTCCACTTTACAAAAGCTTCAGTTGATCCATCGGTTGATGAACGCAGCGCAATCACCCGCTGTGGCAGCTTCCACTGTTCTTCGCAAATATTTATAACTGTTGTTCCATATTTTGCCTTGTAGTTGTCGAGTTTCCTCTTAGCTAAAGCTTTCAACAGACATTCAGATATCCAGCTATTGTGTATATGAGATTTTCCAACCCACTTAACTAAAAACTCATACGATACTATCTTTTCGTTAGAGGTCAAAGATTGTTCCGTGATGGACTCTTCTGTAGGACTACAATTGGCCGACATCTCTAAATCCGTCTTCTTATCTTCTATAGTTTCTGGATCAGGAATTGGATCCGCACCTTTTGTAACTTCAGTATTGTCATGAACTTTCAAAAGAACATCAGCATTGTCTCCAATTGGAATCTCCTCGATCATTTTTGACAAATCTTTCGATATCAATGTGGAAGCATCTTTATTTATCTCATCTATCACTGTAGAACCAGGATCATTTGTGGCTTGATTCATTGAGCTGATAGCATTCTCTTCCATACAATCATTGACCACAGGAACATTTATGTTCTCTACTACCATATCATTTATTTGATCTGAACTGCTCTCAATATTCTTAGTGCCCTCAGTTACGATTTCAGCATCTTGAACATCTGGAGTTGTGTTACAGCTGGGGGTTTTCTCTGATGCACCATTTTCATTGTCAGTGATCGCAACACTCTGAGAAGGCATGTCATTAGTCTCTGTTGCAGAAACAGCAGATTTCCTCTCAGTGCCTTGTATTCGACAACCCAAAACACGATCTACCTGAAACATACACAAACAAAGCATACAATTTATACGAGTATTGTGGTCATAATATGTATAGCATATATTTGCATCCACTTACACATATAGGGTCAAGATTCTTGAAGCCCTGGTTAAAAGGGAGGGAAAATACTCTACACAAATATCAGATCATTGAGGTCCTATTCATTTTGGCCATTTTACATTTTTAGTTATGTGGGTTCGATTGATGCAGTCCCATTTGGTCGACTTAGTGATATAAAAATGGGTCCAGAATATTGATGGATGGCATTTTTTGTGTGTTAAAAACTAGAAAAATGGTAACATTTTGATGATAACATACAGCATCTAACCGGATTATTGGGGTACTTTACACGTGAAAAACCAAATGTTAGGCCTCAGAAACAACACACGAGTTTTTAGCGTTCTTGCTACCTGTTGCATTTTGTCTTGAGCATGATCTGAATTTTTCAGCAACTCGACAACTTTCTCTGCTTTGTGTGATTCATGTGACGGATTTGCAGCTTCTTCAAGTTCCATCTGCATATTAGAAACGGCGGTGCATATTAGAATTCCAAACATGAAAGCAATAGCAAGATAATGGCTGACACTTTATGCTTAATAGAAAATCTGATGCATATTAGAAGTCCTACCAGGAAAGCAGTACTCTTTCTGTCTGAAATAAGAGTCCACATTGTAATTTAAAAGCAATTTAATCATAATTAATTTGAACAATTTTACCTTCTATTAAGCACTGCTTAACAAAATGAATCCAACGAATGCAAAATAAGGGAAAAAGATAATCAAACAATGTATTAAAAGAATCCAACAAATGCAGTAGAAAAAACATTTCGCTTTGGAATTTATACCTTGCCTTTCAACTTTGTATCGTCAATCTTACTTCCCATGTCAGTTTTGGACAAAGATTTAGTCTTTGCATGCTTAACCGACTTGCGCTTCCGTTGAGATTTACTTGTTCCACTAATTTCCAAATTAACTTTTTCACGTTTCCTAGAACTTTCCCCAGCAGTCATCCCCTTATCAGTCCAAGGCTTCTTTTGAACATCATCTGAAGGAACCTTGCGCTTTCTTTTCCTTTTTTCGGTTGAGACTTCTAACATTGGAACATCTTTCTTTTCTTTAGATTGACCCCTGTCATGCTTCCTGTTAGATTTTTCTTCATTTTTCTCCAACTCCATAACCTTGGAAAGAGACATGACTAACTTGGCAGGGGAGCTTGACTTTGTTTCTTCAAAATCAGGCTCAAGTTCTTTTTTGAGATCTGAAGATGATGAACTCCTTTCTTGAGAGCCATCCATGGATGATACATCCTCTTTGGGGCCTAAAGAGGATGGTTTCGCTTTCCTTGATGACCTTTTAGTGCTTCTCAAGATTCGAGATACCTTATCAGTTTTTGCAGATTTATTTTTGCTCTTAGATTTGCCAGGTGTAATCTTCATTCTTGCTCGCTTTGAAGTAGGATCCAATTTGTTGACCACCTCAACTGTATTATTTTCTGAACAGCAGTTTGGACATTGCCACTTGCCATTTGGGATTCGCTTAAAATCACAAATAGAAAAGATAAAAGGGATTATAAGTTTCACCATCTTCCATTAAAACAAACATCATAACAAATGCTCGAGTGTTTATGAATTAGACAAACCTTAAGCGGCGGATCTAGGCACGTAATATGATAGGTTTTAGGACAACCATCACAACAGAGCAAGTCGCCACCAAGATCACAAATGACACATTCATAATAGGACTGAAAAAGAAACAGAATAAATCAATGCATACCTCACATCTAAATAAACTGATTCAATTGATTCCACATAAGTCTATATCAGGTTTTTATAAGAACTCACCCCATCATGTCCTTTCTTTTTGGAAGGAGAACGATCAGATGAGTTTTCTTTTTTACTCTTGCATTTTGACGAACTACTTGTATGAGACTCCGATGGTATAGAGTCGTTTTTGTTGCCATTAGACTTGACTGGACCAAAAGATATCTTTTTCCGCTTGCGCTTTAAAACCCAGTTTCCGTTTATAACATCACTAGTTGATGATTCGTTATTCTTCATCTTAGGATCTGGCTGTTTCATTTAAAAGCTAGGGTGATTTGGCAGATCATCGCATGCCATCATGTGTTTAACCTCCAATTATCTGCACCAAAAATAATAGAGCTGTAGATGTTTGAAAAAGTAAACATTATGAACCAAAATTAACAGCATTTAATTTTTTTTGTAATAATTACTTGGAGAAACTCGGTATCTTTAGCTTGTAAGTTTCCAAAATTAAAATATACTAACATGACAGAATCCACCGATGAAGGGACAAATAAAGTGTTCTCAAAAGAATGCCACGCTGTATAAAATCTGAATTGAAACACAAGACAAAGGTTTAAAAACAGGAAAAGGAAGATGCAGTTTTTTCTGATATCAATGAACACCATGACGCAATGCCACCTTTATATGGACTAGTTTTCATCAAAGTATTACAGAATTCAGCTTAAGACTACATAGCCGCATAAATTGGTGATAGATACAACATTCCAGCCTATCCCATTGTGTATTAGTTGCAGAAACAGAAAGTAAACAACCAAAAAACAACATAGCATAACTTGTTACTTCATTAATGAATCAAGTGTAATCAAAGCTTCACAATGTCCAAGCATGCCAAGTATGGAATATGGAGTCAGCATTTATGCATCTCAATATTCAGTAATAAAAGAGAGAATCAAAGAAACCCAAAAAAAAACAAAGACGCAGAGCACCTTATATAGAAATTCCATAAATCCCAAATTCAAACAAAATCCCACCATTCATTTTCATGAAGTCAAAGAATGAACAGTCAAAGCTAATTCAATGAAGCCCCTTTTTACTTGATCAAGAGCATACATTCAACAACAAAGCCAGCCAGAACCCAATTCAGCAAAACCCATTCTACAAAAACCTAAAAGGAACAAAATTTAACAGTAAAATTGACCCAAATCGAACAAGAAAAGACTCAAATTGAAGTAAGCAGAGAAACAAACTAACGAAGAGAGAAGTAAAGATAAACTTACCAAGAGTAGATCAAAGGCAAAAGGACGTTAAGCAGAGGAGATTGATGGGGTTAGAAGATATCTAGGGCATGCGGGAGAAGGGGGCAAAACGAATAAAGAGAGAGAGAAAGATAGAAAGAAAGAAAGAGTATATGACACGTAATCGCCGGGGATGAGGGGGGGGGGGGGGGGGGGGGGGGGGGGATATCTCGTCACATATATAGATAAACAGGATTTGGACTTTGGAATTGCACAACACACACACTCTGACATGGGTTTTTGTGTGTGTATGTTGTTTATGCGAAGAGAGAGAGAGACTCCACAGAAAGAGAAAAATGCTCCTTCTTCAACCAATTCCATGTTGCCACGTGGAGTCATCAAGACAACTACTGTCCCTCCTTCTCTCCCCACAAAGACTCTTCTTTTTCCATCATGTTTTTCCCCTTCATCTTCTTCCATGCTAAGAGAGAGAGAGAAAGAGGCCTTCCCTTCTTCCATCATCATATCAACTGCTGCTTTCTTTTCTGCATCTTGCATTCCTTCTCTTTTTATATTTGCAGCCTGCGTTTTTGCTTTTCTTTTACCTTTTTTATGCCTCCCTACCGATAAAGATTCTTCACACTATGTTCGAATCAAAACCGTAATCCATTCTTTCTTCCTCTAATATTTGTTTAGATTTATAATTTTATTAAATCTTGTAATTGAGAACGAAACATTCATTTTCTTAAACCATTCCAACATAATGTTACTATCATTATCCGAAGTCATTCCAAATAAACTTTTATAGTCACATGGGTTTTGACAGCATCTTGATTTGAACCAGTATAGATGAGATTTTTCACTATATCTTTGATACTTCTGCGGTATGTCACAACCCAAGTGGTTAATAGTAAGTTTTTTCTCACTAATAAAATGGGATCCAAAAGCCTATATGGTCAATCAAAAGAGTTTATTGGAAGTTTACGTGGTTACAAGCAAAAGTCTTTTTCTTCGTAATGTGATGTGATAGAAAGGTTTTTCAATAAGCTTAAACGAAACATTCATTACTAATGTTGTCACAGTCAGTATGAATTACAAATCCTCGACAAAAGGATTTAAGGACGCTAGCTAAGCTCTTTACATTTGTATATAAAAAAAAAGGAAGATACAGTACGTGTCAATACATTTATTTGATTTGTAATCTCTCACCTCACTTTCTTGAAAACTAATTGTCAAGAATATGCTTCAAGAATTAGGGGTTGTTTGACAGTTATTGAATGGTTTGATGCAGAATGATTAAAAGACTCTCATGATATAATGCAAAATAAAATATAATTGTTCGGTAATTGTTTACAATATAATTAGGACGCTGAATGGTTAAGAGGACTCAGGATACAAAATCATTCAGATGATTTTAGAACCATTAAGAGACAGACTTTTTTTGTCAAATAAGATTCACCATTTAACAATTCAAATGTTTCCGTTTAATGGATCTTTTAAGAGGTAAACAAACAACTCATTGATCAATAAAAACCGTGAAGAGAATGTTACCACCTTACTTTGAATGGTTTCCGGTTTCCACCCCAAAAGTCAAAGTCGTATTAACATTGCGCAAAACTTGTACAATCCACCCTTTCTTTCAACAACCTAAACACCTTTTACTTGAATAAGTAGACTACATTCCAAAGTCGTCTTCAACTTTACATTATGGAATAAGTAGTTCAAATATTGTCTAAAATACCCAAATCCAATTGGAACTCATCTTTTCAACTCTCTTCAAATCAAATTAGAGGCTCTTTGGCACTTGTTGAATGATTTCGTGCAGAATGATTAAGTGGTTGAAATGATTAAGAATCTTTCATGATATAGTGCAAAATGAAATATAATTGTTTGGTAATTGTTTACAATAAAATTTGGGTGTTGAATGGTCAAAATAAAGCCTGGATGCAAAATCATTCAGATGGTTTTAGAACCATTAAGAGGCAGACTTTTTTTTGCCAAACAAGATTCACCTCTTAACGATTTAGAGCCTGCCTCTTAATGGAACTATTAATAGTGTTGAAAAACTGTGATACTAAAGGGAAAAAAAAGGATCAGTGGACATCCACAAGTGACCTTTCGCAGGCGTCCGTGAAAGTGTAAAATTTGGTTCTAATGTCCAAGATGTGTTTTGGATGCAACCGAGTTTTTAGGAAGTTGACACAACCATTCCTTGTGATGCAACGCAACTGTATCGTGCGAAAACACTGCTAACATTCTCTTTGCCAATAAGCTCCCACTTGAAATTCATAAAGGACTTTAAGAGAGATAAAATAGGGGGTTCTAAAATGCCTCGGGACTACTACACGTTGTATCATAGCAGCACGACCAAACGAGATGCAAGTGAACCACTGTCATGAAGATTAGAAGTTTTGATTGCTCTGTAGAGTTACAAAATCAGAAAATATTTTCAATCTCTAATACAATTCGGTTTTTCTGCATTCATTCGGTTAATAAAGATCCTCCTTTTAGTTATTCAGTTGTGCACATACACCGTACTGGAAAGTACTTGAACCATATTAAACCCGTAAATTATTTACATACGCTTTTCTTTGATTGTTCATTACATATTACAGTATTCGTCTTCTCCCGATTCAAATTTATTCTGTATCGGTTGTCGATAGCGATCACACATTTCTTCAAACAGTTGTGTTCGACTTGCTACAGAAACGAACGCTATACTCACCAAAAATCCAATTCGATACAATAATAATTTACACATAAAACACCTGCCCAACGTTCAAAAGGCTCTCGTGAGGAACATTAAAGATGACACTATTTTCCCTGCAAATCTTCCTCAGAAACGCATATACGTAATCTATACAAATCTTTTTATAGAACGGCGAATCCCTCCTCGCTCTAACCACGGTATTTCCCATTATATGCACCACCCCAGCATCTCGACAACCCGTCAGAAACTCCATTTCATCGACCTCTGTATGACTACTCACCTGCCCAGATGACATCCCTGAGTTATTAACATGATAAGATGATTTCGCCGGCACGATCGAGTCGCCCGATGAGACTGTGAGGTCTACAACTGACGAAAACGTATTGTTGTTGGTATCGGGCAGCAAGAAATCTTTAGAACGCCGAGTTTGCTGGCCGTATACGCTATATTCGTCTGAATCCGACCCGCCTTCCATCATTGACTCGAGTCTTACAAACATGAAGAGATTATCGAAGAGTTTCTTCTCAAACTCGTCGTCTTTCTTGTGTAAATCTTTGTATCCATATCTGGCAACGCACCTGAACATGTGAAAGTTTTTGGGCCCGATTCTTTTGACGAGAAATCTTTCGTCTTCTGGGACAGTGTAAACAGGAAGGTATTTGACGCAGACGAAAACAACTACTGAATGGATGGCGGGCAGATTAGTGATGAAATGGGAAAAGATATGTGGGACTCCGCTTGCGAGCTCCGTGTACACAAGTCCTACTCCGGGAACTCTAACAAGCCCCAAACTTGGTCCCAAACCAAGAATCCATGCCATCGAGATCTTACTGTGCATTTCAAACTCGTATCTTTTCACGGTGCCGTAATGCCAAATGTACATGATGAGAAGAAAGACTGCAGCAATGACAAGTGGGACCCACCCGCCCTGATCAATCTTGAACAGAACAGCGGAAAAGTAAGTGCATTCAACGATCAGAGATAAGGCCGCAAAGATGAAGACGAGAATCCAGTGGCAGCGCCAGACTAATAACATAATTAATATCATGATGAAAGTCGTTGCAAGCATGACTATGACGACTGCTGTCCCTGTAAACACAGATTTCATGATGTTAATTGCTGCAAGTTCTCTAGCAAAGCAGCTTATAATGATCTCATGCTAGTAATGGACTAAGTTTTACATCCAAGGTTTAAGGCAATTCTGTTATCTAGATTACATCAAAATTCACTACAAACACTAGAGATGGAAGATCAACAAATTTGTGAAAAGGGTCACTATTTGAGCTTGTGAAGTAATAGGTGTTGACCTTGAAGGTCAAAGCACAACTTTTTTTTCATGAAAGCGGGACAGTACAATACAAAAACATGTTGTCCCATTAAACCAGGACAGGACTCGCTGGGACAAAATGCATTTATTTTCTCCCACGAAAATATGTGGAACAAAAATCAGAGATGGAAGAAGATAGGTAAATTACTAAACAACCCATGTCATACACATATTGGGAAACTAGGGTAAATGATGAGTCACCCAAGAGGCAGATAAAGGTAAAGACGGGGCAACTTAGTAAGGTAAAGACGGGACAACTATGTAAGAGTTATCTAATCGAACATATATCACTTCATATTAGGAGTGGGTACATGTTTAGCAACTTTTACAAAGGTATCCAAGAAAATGTTTTCTAGGACTTTGGCCAAGTTTAATACCAATCTGCAGAAGTTCTGCGGGTGCTAGATGTTTATATGATCTTTATGCTTGTTTACTAGAAGCGGATAAAAGAAGATTGAAGGGGAAACCAGGCACGTGTTCTCCTTCTCACTATGAACCATGAAAATGGCACTTTGAGTTTTAGAGGGTCGTGCCATTATGGGAGAAAGTATCTATATGAGTCAAGAAGTTATTCTTTCCTAACACATTGTGGCTAAATCTTGAGGTGGCTAGAATGCATGTCCCTTCTTCCTTTGAATGAGGCCTTGTTAGCAGCAACTTATCTAATTAACTGGATGCCAAAAAGTACGTAAAATATTGAAGTCCTATTGGGGTTTTACTTTACCTGGAAAAACTCTTGCAAAATTTAAGTTGCTGGTTTCCCGCAAGCTTTAGTGCAAGCTTTAGTTGTGCATATTATGTCAAGAACCATAAGATTCTAGAGAGCTCAATCAAACTCTTGCAAAATTTATGTTTCTGGTTCCCCCTCTTCAAGGGGATTACCGTTGCCTATGATGCTAAACCCTATTTATTTTATCCAGGAAAAGCACGATTAAGATCTTTATTTGATATACCTAGTTTGTAAGAGAGATGCACATGTGAATCACTCCATCGAGATAAAAAGTTTTCTTTCCCAACTTGGTATGCAATCAAGACTAGACTGGCAAGGGTGAGGTAGGCAGATGAAAGAATTGTGGAAGGTTTTAGGGTTTTGTAATTTGACATGGTTAGTTTAGTAATTTATAAATCATGTCCATCTCCCTGATTATTGTTCCACCAATTTGGATGGGACAGTAAAAATGCATTTCTGTCCCACTCAGACTCTGTCATGTCACAGTCTAATGTCATACCAAACGTGGGACAACAAGTTTTTGTCCCATCGTGTCTCATGTACCAAGCGCACTAAGTTCCCATTGCCTCCATATTATTGGTATTCTTCACTTTCGTGCATATTGCTAAAAATTAGCGGGAAGCTACAAATCCAAGAGGTAAAAAATGGCCAATTGCAAATATAGGAACTTGTGACACATCCTATCCACATTTTCAATCAAGGTACAACACAAAAATTATCAGACCTACCATTAGTTGAAGTGAACATAAGATGCAAAAATAATAATGGCAAATGTTGACATTATGAGACAAATATGAAAAACTATATGTAAATGATTATCTATATGATATGATATAGAAGATGAACCATATGAAAGCTGATTAATGAAAAAAAGCATATACTCACCATAAGCATTGCCAATTTGGCTTTGATTCTTGAATCCAGCAGTCACAATGATGCAAAGAACCATAAGAATCCAATTGATATCTGGAATATATATCTGTCCAAGAAATTTACTTGATGTATGAATGACCTTGACTCTTGGAAAACAGCCAAGTGCATTTGCCTGCTTAATTATCGAAAATGTAGCAGAAATAGTTGCCTGACTTGCAACAATAGCAGCTAATGTCGCAATAACAAACATCGGCCAGTATATACTCTCTGTAAGATCACCAGATATTCTATTACTTCAACGTTTTCTAAAGCGATTAATATGATAGCTATTTGAATAAACGACAAATTAAGCATTCTAGTGATGTAAAAACCAAAATATACTTGTATTAATCACATCATTTTGCTTCCATGAATCAAATTTTGAATTGTAAGATCTGAATCTTGAACCATCTGCCATATGGTTTGACAACTTTCGAGTAAACCAACTCAAACTATGGCCTCTTTCAGTATTTGAAGTCAACAATCTTTACATCGCTCTCAGCTCTTTGTCTCTATGGGGAAAGCACAAAGTCATTTGTATTCTATTTCCATCTTAGTAGGTCATCAAAATCATACACTATTTTGTAAATTATATCTAACTGCCCAATCTTGAAATGGTCTCTTTTTGCTCCCTCAACTTCTTGTCCCACCATCGCTTTCATCCTTTTCTTTTCCTCAAAGTAAGTAATATTGCAATAAATGGGATTATTACTTTCTAATCTTCAAATAGATCACCTAACTGCAAAAGATTACACCCTCAAGGTCTCCTACATTATCTTATCTACCACTTCCATTTCAAGAACCATCTTGAGGTTTATAATACAAGCGAAATAGATGTGTAATGAACCTGGGATAGAGCGGTAAAACGCATCATACACATGTTCCTTGTTTTGCATGAGGTAGGCTGCTTGTCCAGAATAGGCTAAAAGAAGGCAAGGGAATACAACAACTGTAAATGCAAGCTGGATTGCGGAGAGTGGAAAATGGGCAAGATCAGCAAAAAGTGCCTCCGTCCCTGCAAAAGTGTTAGCAATCATCAGTACAACAGCTACATATAACACCCATCCACACACACATATAAGATTAGAGAAATAAAACGTAGAGTAAGAGAACAATGGAAGTTAAAGGAGATAAGAAGATTAAAGGAACTAAAGTCTTCAGACTCTGGTATTTGATCTTTATGCGACTTATAGTGACTAAAATGAGAGCCAATAATGTGGCAAATACCCGCCCGCCGGGTGAAAATGAATAGGATCCTAACGTATTTTTACATTTTCACTTGCAACTTTGATTTCATCCCTCTCATGAAAAAGTGAATGTCATCATCTGACATATAACATGATCCCAAATCCATAATGCATGCGTACTCCTTGACCTTGATAGACTGTAGCCCAATCATTTCCACCTCCATCAATCATCAAGTTCATGTGATACACACACATGTATGTGTGTGTGAGCATATACATGTAGAGAGAGGGAGAGAGAAAGATGACCTGTTATACTAAGCATGATCCCTCCAAGTGATGTCCAACCATTTTTTCCTCTCCTTGCAAAATAGTGGTATATATATACTGGTGAAAAAGCCCGCAACACCCCAGTGTCGTATTTCCAGATATTGAAAATTCCAATTCCTCCGATTAAAAGAAACCAAATCAAGACAATTGGAGCGAAGAGCCATCCAACCTTATCGGGGCCATAGTGTTGTAGACTAAACAAACCTAGTAGTATGATAACCGAAACAACTATGACGACATCTGCAACAAAGAACAAATTATAAACAACAAAAGAAAATCCACAATCTTGCAAAGCAAAGGACAAACTAGAGAGAATGTTTAGTTTCAGAACTCGAGACATACCAGTACTCATCCCTGGGTGGTCTATCTTTATGCCACCAGAAGCCGATAAAACTGGTAGAAACAGATATTTTGGTCAGATATTTCATAGCAGATAGAAAACTTAGATGCTAACTGATCTAAATACAGTGCATTTCATTTTGGGTCATTTAACATTTTCAGAAATGTTAACTGATCTAGGCCTCAGATCACATCTTATTTCTTCTAGCATCAGATAAATAAGACCCCCAAAGTGAAAATGTTAAATGACCCAAACATACAAGACCAGAACATCTAGATGAGCTTTCAAGCAAAAAACTAGATAAGTTTACCTGAAATAGCAGGAGTTAGAATTCCATCTCCAATCGCCATGCAAGTACCAACAAGGACAAGTAGAAGAAGTGCATTCCTTTTAAACACGTGTCCTTCCAACCATCTCTTTGTTTTTGCAGCAAACGAATTCTCATGAATTGTGGTGCGACTATAAGTTGTCAATTCCTCGTCAGTTCGATGTTGATTAGGAATCGTACTGACTTTTGCATGTCGACACAGTAGTGAATAAAGAGCAAAAGTTCCACCTGCGTATGAATCACAATTAGGAATGCAGTTATAATTTAACTATTCATTAGTACATAGTTACATATGAATAAAAACATGTACCTTGACCATTGTCATTTGCGCGACAAACAATGAAAACATATTTGATGAGAGGCACAAGGGTAAGAGAGTAAATGATCAAGGAAAGTGCACCAATAATGTCTTCCGTATCATCGATTCCTTTAGGAAAAGTATTGTAAAAGACATACAAAGGAGAAGTTCCCAAATCTCCATAGACGACTCCAAGACTTTGAAATGCAAGTCGCAGAAGCAAAATTGCAGAGAACTTCTGCATTGAACAACGATAGCATAACAAAATGGTTTACCAACAAAGATTTAGGAATTACATTACCACATAAATAACACCATAAGAAGAAATTACTTTGTCAACCTTTAAATTCGGCCAAAGGGTTCTTGAAAAAGTTAAGATTTAGTAATCTTTATTAGAAAGTAAATGGATTCAGTCGTGGTCATAATACCAGTTTCTCAGTCAACAAACATACAAATACCACATCAGGATTCAAATGATTTTAACAATGAATAACTATCAAAGGCACCAAGTGAAAACCCCCAGTCAGTTACCTTTTCCAAATAAGTTCAACCCCAAATCAAGAAAAAACCAGACACACAAAGAGACTGAATTTTGTGAATTAATTGTCTTTTTCAAATAAATTTGACCCCAATCAAGACAAACAGACACACATAGAGACTGAATTTGGTGAATCATTCCAAATAAGTTTAACCCCCAATCAAGACAAACAAACACGTACACAGAGATTGGATTTGGTGAATACTAAAACAATGAAAAGCCAAAGAAAAAGAGAAAACAAGAAACGTTGAGAAAATGAAAACAATATACACAGAAGGGAAAGGGGCAAAGAATCTGTGAAAACCGATAAACATGAGAGAGATTACCAAAAGTAGCATAAAGTTACCTTTTCTCTATACATATTTTTTAGTCTACCCGCCTCTTCATCCATGGGCTGGTCAATTTTCTGCTCCAAAGCCCACATGCCACCTTTTGAGTCATCCTCTCCATTCGTATCAACTTCCATATCAGTCACCATAGCAAAATTTCAAGCTACATCCACTTCCTAAAACCTCTTTGTCTGGAACTAAAAAAACAGCATCAAGAACTAAAAAAGACCATCGAAATGAACCCCGATCACCTGACGTGGATTCACAATCAATCCAATAGAATAAAACCCACTAAGAGAAACCCAATTTTATCACCACCTCAACTCAAGTGGGGTAAACACAAGTTCCTCCAATTTGACCACCCACAATTTCAAATTCAGCCAAGGATTCGATTATCTTTTAGTGCACTAATTCTGAAGAAAAGATATTTACGGGTTTTTCGAATACGAACCAATAGATATCAGCCACAAAACCGAAGAGGACAAAAACCCCACCTACAGAAACAAAAAAACAGGATGTATTACGGGTAGATGACAAAGAAGAAAGAAAAGGAGGTTTTCCAGAAATATGGAGGCATGTGAAATTGGAGTGGGGAGTTTTTTTTTTTTTTCTCTTATGCTGTTATTCAAGAGAAGCATTAATAGAGTAAAGAAAAAAAGAAGAGCACCTCTCGAAGTCGCCCCCATTATTGAGAGAGAGAGAGGGATCCGAGAGCACTCAGAAGAGAGCGATGAGAGAGAAAATTGGTCCCCGTCCCTTTCAGTTCCATAGTTACACCTTTGTAAACGTCACAGAGGTTTTAATATTCTCGAAAGATAACCACCACCTGATTGATTGGTTTGAGTTGAATTTGTCGTAGAGATTAAAAGTATCTCGAGGAGGAATAAAATTTTTCTTGTGGTCATGAAAGTTCAAATGCAATGACTCAAGATTATCTGCAAAGCAAATGGTCATCTTAGATTAATCGGTTCACATAACGGGTTAATTATCACGTTAATCCAAAAAAAATCTCAAGATTTTGACGAATTTTGATTAGCGAGTTAAAATAAAAGAGTAGAATTATATAAATCGTCCTTGTCAATCTTAAATTTGAAGAAGAAAAGAAAAGAAAAATAAAAAAGATTTTTTTTATATTTTTAAAAGGAAAGAAAATGAAAAGAAAAGAAAAGAAATAATTTTTTATGTTTTTTAAACGGCAAAACTATATCATTTTTACTAATATATCCGTAAAAAATACAATTTTTAGAACGAAGGATTGGGTATTTTGTAATTTTAATAATTTTTAGAGGGTTTTAATTTAATTTCATTTCTTACCACATTTAGGAGGAAAGTTTTGAAATGAAACTTATTGTTATTTTCTTTCTTTTCTCTCATAAAAAGTTACAAGAACACGAGTTTTTTTTACTTCCCTCTTTCCTCCCCTTCTTTTCCTTTGTAAAAGAAGTTTCAAGAACACAATGTTAACCAAATTTTATCAATTACACCAGCATCCTCATCGTGTCGAGCTGTTTACACCTATTGTTCTTGATTTTGACAAACGTTGTTCATCCATTAACCAAGGGGTATTCTGGTCATTTGTATTTTTTATACATGTTGATAAAGCATTATGTACAAGTGGGTAAAAGATTTCAAAAACGTAAACTCAAAGACATTATGTACAATTTGAATTCTCCAACCATCCCCCTTCTCAAGCCTATCCTTGTCCCTTCCCTCTTCTCTGGCTACCCCCTCGTAAATTTGCTCTCCCACTCTCTCTCCATTGTCACCTACAACCCGTACGCGAAGGACTTGCAATATAGTGGTTATCAAATAATACAAAATAAAGGAAAATTTTCAACATGGTCGACCTGCAACATGGTGGTTTTGCAAATAGGTATCATCGATCGAAGAAGGGTTCTCTGGTTAGCAAGAAACATAAGAACCTTCGATATTTATGATAGAGGATAAAGATAAGAGGTACAAGATGAGGTTCTATGTTTAATTAAATGAACACTCCATCTATGAATCCATCTCTTTTATGTATTTAAAGATAGAAAGACAATTTTTGGGTACTTGTCATTTGACCTAGTTGTGGGGTGGTTTCAGTTTTCCTTTCAAATATTTTATGCATTTGGTTTGGAACTACAACTTTACCTCCCTTTCAGGAGCCCAGAGAAGGATAAAGGGTGTTGTTGCTGAAGTTTGAGATGGTGGTCAGAGAAAATGAGGACAATATGGGGAGGGGAACAACGGAGGAAGGGGGAGTGTGGGTTTGATTTTGTCGTTTTTTAAATGATTTAATGACTTATACATTGGTTTATTCTAATTTAAAAACAATGACCTAAATGCTCCTCAACGAATTATCTTGATGAGATCAATGCCCCTCTACATCACTAGGTCGTACCACTAGTGCACCATCACTAAGGAAACATCTTCTTTTTCATCATCATGATGACCACACTGTTGTTGAGCCTCCACACCACTAAGCCACGTCATTGCACTGTGTGTCTGAATCAAGCACATGTAAGACGATGAGAGTAAGGGTATTCATCATCCCCTCATTGCATCGCCTGAATGTTTGAATAAGTCCCTGTGCCAATTGGTTTTCCTAGATCGAGCAAAGTTGAATGGATGAACGACTTGTAAGATCAAAGTCAATGATCTAAGATTTAACAACACAAATCGAGAGCAAAGTTTGATTTAAGGTTTTAAAATGTACAATTTTTTTATTTATGTTCTAATTTAGGGTTTGTATCACAACCTTCTTTGAATGAAGTTGTAACAACTTCTTGTTTATAATGATTTTGTTGATTTTACATTAGATTGTTATTGATGTTCTTGAATGAGTTATATTTAGGGTTGAATTATTGTTTGATTATGAATTTTTTAGTGTTTGTTTCATGCTCTTAATGGTTGGAGAAGATTAAAGTAAGAAAAACAACAAAATAGAAAGAACTTAAATAATAAAATGACAATTTTATCCTAAGGTGGCGTTTGGTTCGCATAATGTTTTTGGATGAAATGGAATCTGTTAAATAAATTTGAGTTTGAAGGAATTTGAATGAAATGTTGTCAGGTTTGACCATTTTTTTTGTTGGCATACATTGGAATGAAATCTATTAAGAAATTGGAATCTGTCTGTTTGGTTCACATAATGTAGTTTTAGAATTGGAATAAAATATTGGTAAATGACCAAAATGCGCTTTTTTGAATTTTTTAAAACTAAAAATACTTTAATAAAATAATTATTTAATATGTAAAACAATATAAAATATACAACCTAAATATAATCATAAGCCAAACGACGTTACTAAATCGACAGTGGTTGGCGATCGTTCAGATCGGTTGTGGTCCACAGTGGTTCAGATGGTGGTGATCCACAGTGATTCAGATCGATGGTGGTCCACAGTGGTTCAGATGAAGGTGGTCAGTGGTGGTTCAAATAGGCGGTGGCGGTGGTGGTTGTTCAAATCAGTGGTGGTCGACGGTGTCCGACGGTGATTTAGATCGATGGTAGTCGTCGATGGTTGGCAGTGATATAGATCGATGGTGGTCCGTTGTGGTTCAGGTGACGATGGTCAGATGTGGTTTAGATCGGCTATGGATCATATCGGTGAAGGTCAATGGTGGTTTAGATCGACGGTGCTTCAGATCGGTAGTAGTTGGCAGTGGTTCAGATCGATGGTGGTCTGTGGTGGTTCAGATGGCGATGGTCGACAGTTGTTCAGATCGGTAGTGGTCCATGGTGGTTTAGATGGCGGTTATCGGCGATGGTTCAGATTAACGGTGAATCAGATCAGTGGTGGTTCAGATCGGTGGTAGTCGGTGGTGGTGGTCGGTGGTAGTTCAGATTGATGGTAGTCGGTGGTGGTGGTCAATGGTGGTTCAGATCGGTGGTAGTCGGTGGTAGTGGTCGACGGTGGTTCAGATAAGCGGTAGTCGGTGGTGGTGGTCCATGATGGTTCAGATGGTGGTTATCGGCGGTGGTGGTCCATGATGGTTCAGATGGTGGTTATCAGCGGTGGTTTAGATTGACAGTGAATCAGATCAGTGGTGGCTTAGATCGGCGATGGTTCAGATTGGTGGTAGTCAGTGGTGGTGGTCGGCGGTGGTTCAGATCGGTGGTGATCCATGATGGTTCAGATGGCGGTTATCGGCGGTGGTTCAGATTGACAGTGAATCAGATTAGTGGTGGCTTAGATCGGCGATGGTTCAGATCGGTGGTAGTCGGTGGTGGTGGTCGGCGGTGGTTCAGATCGGTGGTAGTCGGTGGTGGTGGTCGGCGGTGGTTCAGATCGGTGGTAGTCGGCGGTGGTTCAGATCGGTGGTGGTGGTCGCCGGTGGTTCAGATCAATAGTGGACGAGAGGTGGTCAACGATGGTCATATTGAGTTTTATGAGATTAGAGTTAGGTTAAGAGCATATTTGGTATAATGAAGATAGAGATTCGATTGCATCAAAACACCATATAGTTGCTTAGGAATGTTAAATTCCTTTATTTGTGGAATTTGTAGGATTTTAAAGATTTTTTTCGTGAAAAAAGAATGAACCAAACAAGGGAATGAAATTTGATCAATGAAATTCAACATTCCAATTCTATCAGATTCATTCATAATCTACGAACCAAACACCACCTTAGTTAACAGATAAGATAGACAATCAAAAGACTAGGTACTAATTCCAAAACAAGTTGCTAACCATGAGGGCTTTTTTTTGTAATAAATGAAGTTGAGAAAGCAATTCCATGATAAACACTAAACCACATGGACCATGTGCATAATTTGCTATAATGATTATAGAAATTGCAATTCAAGTTTTTATTTTGAAAAAAAATACTTTTAGAAAACTCTATTTTTGTGTTTACCAAAATATTTTCAAAATAATAAAGTTTAATAAAAGAAATTCATAAATGATATTTTGTTTACATTCTTTTTTTCACAAAGTTATAGTATATAGTTTTAATTGATTCTTAATTACATCAAATAATAGTACGTTCTTTAAAATCGAGCATTTTGGAAGTAGGTTTCAGAATAGAAACATGAATAAACTACGTTTGACTTTAATACAGTTTGATCTTTTTTACACACTTAAATTTATTTAACTAAAACTGTAAGGTTGATATATATCGAGACAATATGACATAGAGCTAATTGATCGATAACGCAACCCATGAACTAAAATTTGATCTCGCAACACCCATAAACATCCAATTGATATCAACACAAAAATTTAAATTCGAACATGACCTAATTAATAACTAGTAAATAAAATAAACTTGTTAACAATGCTAGCTACAAAAACTACGTACTAAACCTCCAAAAAAGTTGATGTGTGCCAACAAAACCATCTTAGTCATCAAAATATTTATTAGCAACACGTTATCATCTTAAAAACCGTTACATAAACCTAACTCGGTTTCATTTTCATCTCATTAAATAGAATATTATATGGTTCATCATATGTCACAATCATCTATAACAAACATAAAGAAATAAATTAAGAACCTATGCAAAATGTGGTTTATGATTATGGGGTGGGAAATGAAGGATTAAATATTGATATGGAGTGGTTGTATGGTACCCAATGGATGTTTAATGGTT